CCAGCAGCAGTGCTGGGAGGGGGGCTAAGGGGTTGCTATGGAGAATTTTGCGGTAGCTGTAGCTCAACCTGTAACCCACCTCCCAGCACCACTGCTGCCTGCCCCACCCTGAACGCAGCCTGCCTACCCTGAACGCAGCCCTGGCCCAGCCCCCCTGCTGGGAAGAGGCCAGCACAGCCCCTGGCTCTGCGTGTGTATCAGGCAGCCCACCCTCACATTGCACACAGATCCAGGGGGCACATACTCCTCATACCACCCCCGGGGGTGTGCCCAGCAGCTGGAGCCACCTCCCCTCACTGTGACCACTGGATGAGCTGCCCATGGCTCCTTCTGGTGCCCCACTCCACCCCAGCTGGGCAGTGCCTACCCCTGCCCCAAGCCTACTCCTTCCCTCACCATGGGAGCCTTGATCTGCCCCCCTGCCATGCCTCTTCCCCCACAACAGACTTACCAACTAGACGCTGCTCTCCAAGCTTCCGGGTTGCATATCAGCAATTGTATCAGTATCAGTTGATATGCCTGGTTAATAATTGGCCCAAAAAATCTTTATTGGTGCACCCCTAATCACTGAGGGCCCTGATACAGCAAAACTGAGGTTCTACTGGGGAATGGATAGGGGCAGGGCAGGATTTGCTCACATGGTGTATGACTTCTTTACTTTCTGTCTTAAATTCTGAAGAGCTCTGGTTAGTAAACATTCTCTGTGCCCTAGCATATCATAAAAATCATGGAACCAAGAGTGAAGACAGATAGCACTGATTAGTTCCTTTGAAAATGGCAAGTATACTAGCCTGCAGTACAGTCCTAAGTCTTCATCAGTGGGTGCCATGTAGCCATAGCCAAATCCAGGACTTGTAAAAGGGGTGTGTAGGAGAAGCGAGTGGTGCTACAAGGGTGGCTGCACTCTTCTTTGCCCCTCCTCACACCCAACCTCCCCAACACCTGAGTAGCCAGATCATGCTTCAGGAGCAGCAGATGGGGATTTTTTTGAAGCCCCATAATTGGGTAAGAAGCCACACAACAGGTCTTGGTACCACCTACCTTCTATTCTTAGTGGCACCTCCACTCCTTCCCATTCCCTCCCTTCCCCTCGCTATTTACACCTCTGGGGACAGGAAAGGGAAACCTGCCCATCAGCACCACTGTCCTGGCTACTTCTGCCTCATCCCGGCTGTGGTTGTGGTAAGTGGCTGTGCAGGGAGCTGGGCTCATTTAGGGACAATAACAGGAGTGGAGCAGGTTCCCTCTCCCTGTGATCATAAGCTGTGGAAAACACCTTGGGGTGACCAGTCAGGGAGGTGAATCCCACCTTCCACTAGTGCTACTGTTGAGCCCAGCTCCATGCAGCCATTGCTGGAATGGGGCAGGAGTGATTCTATGGCTTCCCCTGCTCCTGGGTCAGTTGGGAACTGGTTGGATCTGCCCTTCCTGTGCCTAGAAGTATAGATAGAGAGGCAGAAGAGGGGGTGGGGAAGGGAGGTGCTGCTAAGCATGGAAGGCAAAAGACAGGGTGTCAAGACAGGGCAGTGCAAGATTTTTACCTCTTTCAGGGACTTAAAACAATCTCTGGCTGCTTGTCCTGCAGCATGATCTGGACTCTGCAAGGTCCCAATCATTCAGGGCTGTGAGGAACCAGAGCCACTGAGCTACACTGTGGAAATGGGGGATGTCGTGAAACTACTTTGACACTTTTTGACCCATAAGTGATGGAGAAAAAAATCTTTTCCCTCCTCACTTTGAAGTTATTCTTGTGCCTGAGAATTTGCAGGATTGGGACTTTGACCTTGTAATTTAAATATTCTTAACTTTTCTTAAATTGCACAATTGGAAGTTTTGGTCAAAATAATCCAATTATAACTTACAGAAAGATCACAATTTCATTCAGAAATCCTGTCTGAAGTGTGGGACACATAACTGAGAGAAAAAGATAATTAACATTCAGAACTTTTTATACCATTTTAAGTAATGTGAGGCAATAACTAGTGACTAATTAGTTTAATAGCAATTACTAAGATACAATTCATGAGCACCATTTGGAAAATGAAAACTTATGTGGAATGGTTTTAGTGTACAACACTTCCTGGAACGTTTCTAAATAAAGGGGTATTCAAGTGGATATTATTTCTTCTGAAATCCTATTTTAAGAACATTCTAAATTTGCTTTTAAAAACAGACAAGCCTTTGGGCAAAGTGCTCTTATTCAGGACTGGGAAAGTAGACATTTGTAGACTGTAGCAAAATAAGTAGCAGCCTTTGCAGTTGTTTCATGCTGTCCTAGCTCCTGTGAGTCATTGGTGACTGGACTGGAGAGAGCCACAGAAAGTCCAATAAAAACAAACAGTAGAGTATGATACCTACTGTGTGAATGACGAGTACCTCTGTTCTATTGTATGGGATTTGGGGACTAGAGAGATTAATACTGAGAATACTTTGGTTCTTCAGGAATATCCCTCCCTTGCTAGGTCTCTTGTAGTTTTTTTCCCAGTGGAGATGGTAGAATTTCCTATTCTCCCATTGTTGTTTTTTGTTATTGTCAAAACTACTTTTCATGGGGTCGGTTTGTGACTATATTTGGTAGAACAGTCTCTGAATCTTTTTAGTAACCATGTAACCAGTTACTGGAGAAGATTAATTATATGCTAGTCAGTTACACAACTCCGTATATATGGTGTTTAGAGAAATTGTATGCATGGTGAGCATCTATGATGAATTGCCTAGATTATTTCCCACAAAGAATCATTTTAAAACACATTGTTCATCTGCTGCCTTCTCACCTGTTTGCAAAGAATGCACACAAGTGGTTTAAGCTAGGTTTAGGAAGAAAGAATCTCCCTGTAGCCTATCAGGTTGGTCTGGCCAACCCCAAAGCGATTTATCTATTGAACAATAGCCCATTATATCCTGAGCATATCCCACTCCTTTTCTAGAAAGCTGTGCAGAGAGAAGAGTATTTGAATGAATGTACAGACTGTTCCTATGTGGAATAAACAAAGTGGTTTTTCATTTAGGATCTTTCATGCTCCCACAGGTTGTGAAGTAGAGGTCAAACAGTGGGCAGCATTTAGCACTACCTTACTAAAATGACTAGACTTATCTATTGGGTACTCTTTTCAATGTACTTATGAACTCCTGATAAGACAGTTCCATGAACATTCCAAGATTATCAGAAGAATTGCCTGGTCTACCATAAAAAAGAAAAAAGTACAGGCAGAATATGGCATGCAGAAGCAGTTTTATAGCTCCTCCCATTGCAGCACATAAGTGACACAGTTACAGTTAACTTTGGATTATCAATCACTGGTTCCCAGCAAAATAGAGTAGTTCTCATCATAGTACAGTTGTACTTTTGAGCTGCTTTCCTTTAGTGTGTCCACGCTCAGTGATGAGGCTGTCGGAACCAATATTGGACATGGAAATAGCAAACTACAGTGAAGTGTTAGATCCAACGTATACTTCATTGGAGTTTGAAACTATGCAGATTCTGTATAATGGCAATGGTGAGTTCTCATCTGCTTAGTGATACAAAATCAAGGAAGAAGTTAACAGAAAAAGTAACATTGAATAATGTTGTAAGGTGTTAGTCAGATTTGTTATTAATGTGGAATTTGGTTATTTTCAATGCTATAAATCTGCTCTTTTATACTTCATCATTAACTCTAAAGTAATAACATTATACCTCTTCTATATTAAAGAAAATAAATACCAGTTATGTGTAAGAAAGTGACTGACATACACTCTCACCAGTCAATTAATCAAAGGAAATGGGTAGGTTCAGGAATTGTTTTATTTACTGTAAGACAAATGAATAACTAGTATTGATAGTTTTTGGCATGATTTTATATTTTGTAAATAACACTTAAAAAGAACAAAATTATCTAATGTTTGGAAAATATGATTGATTATGAAGAAAATTATCTCTTTGCTTTTGATGTCATTTCCAATTGATGGACTGATGTTTTATTTATAAAATGTTAATCTGATCTTTCCAGATTGTGTACATGTAAACCAAAATGAGGTTATAATCATTTTGACTTGACTCCTTGCAAGCTAATGTTTAGCAGGGAGAAGTTCTTGGTATTTGACTAATGTAACATTTTAACTCCAGAGAGAGGTAGCTAGTTGCATTAGTCTGAAGTTAGGTTGGAGTTGTTTATGCTGTGGTTTTATGAGAAACTCATCTAATGAATTGTGACTCAAATATGTAGCATCCTGTATTTAACTTGACCCAAACTGAATATTATCCAACAAATATAAAAGAAATGTCAGTCTTTGAATATTTTAATTAAAGACCATTAATTGTAACTTGAGAACTGTTAATGTACTTTTCGTTGCCTTAGTCGTCGTTTTTAGTAAACTATGAAAAAGCAGAGCCACTCTTAATTTTTATTTTTAAAACTAGAACAAATATTTCATGATCTGTGGGAAGTTTCATTTGTATCTGTATCTTGTTCCCAATAACTTCTTTCTGAAAAATGCTCATTCTGCATACCTCACAACATCCAATATAGTACTTATGCAGCCCTTTGTAAGTGTGCCTTGAAACTTTTGGCTGAAATGCTGAAGTTATTTTGAAGCTAGGTTAAGTAACAGAAATATAATTTGGTCTTTGATTGCACTTAAGTGGAATTAAAGAACAAGAAAAAATTCTTCTTTATCCATCTTAAGTGCAAGGTTTAACAATAGTTTCTTCATGTTTGGTTCATTCTTTACTTTTTTAAAATATGTTTTAACAAGGATGATTCCCTGGGTACTTTTTAATTTTTGCTTAAAATAATTCCTTTACAAATCTGTTAATACTGTATGAAGGGGTGATGAAGGTCATGAGGGGATGGGGGTGGGGTTCTTCCTTGAAACACAGCTGATTGAATTATTCATTATAAATGCTTAGTTAGCAATTATTATTTGTTAAATGTGATAGTTTTTTTTCTGCTGGCAATTCAGTTATGAACTTCTGTTAAGTAACTGCTGGCTAATGTGTAAGTCCTTCTGGCTAAGGCACCAGATTGGGACACGGGAGATGTGGGTTCATTTTGATGTTCTGCTACCTATTCCTCTTCTGAACTTGAACCAATCTCTTAATTAGGATTGGTAAAAGGGACTTGAACCACATTCAGGCAGAAAAAAAACACTTTTCAAAATCAGGTCAATAACTCTTTTATTTCAGAAGAAAATTGGGGAAAGGGTGAAAAAAGAAGATTGACACTATTATAACATTTTGCATTGACTTTTTTTTGAGAAATGTTTCAGGTTTTGTTCATTTTGAAAGGACTTTTCATTTATTTATTTGATATTATTTTACTGTATCATAATGCTAAATAAAAAAGCCTAAAGAAAAATGTTTCAATTTTGTCAAAACTAACCATTTCCATGAACCCCAAACATTAAAAAAAAACTTTTTTTTTCAATTCAGAACAGAGCTGTATTTTCAAATATCTAAATTCATTTTAAAATGGAAATGACATCCTCTGCACAGCTTTACTTTTAATCTATGTGGGTACGTCTACAAGTGCAACTAGTATGTCTGAATAAACTCCAGCGCAGTTTGCACTGAAATTTATTGCTCATGGGTGCACTGTTTGCATGTGCACCTGAGACCACTGCTTGTTGAACTGGGGTAGACGGCCTGTCAGTCTGGGGCTGCTCTGACCCGGCTCAACTTGCTGCAGAGGGGTTGGCTGGGGTAGTGGGCAGGCAATCCTTGCACTGAAGCACCCTCATACCACAGCCAGGCCCATTAGTGTCTACATGTGCATAGCAGCTGAGTAAATAACTCTGCTGTAGGATAGTACCTGTGTCTGGCAGTACTATCCTATGGTGGAGTTAATTATTTGACTCTGTCCTAATAGCACCACACCTGTAGATGCTGGCATTTTACTGTGGAGCTAATTAAATAACTCCATAGTAAATGTCTCATGTAGACCCACCCAGTATGTCTTAATTCCCTGTCTGTCAAACATGATTAATAATGCTCCCTTTCTTTCACTTTTTAATGTGTCTGTTTAGACTGTAAGTTCTTTGGGACAGGGTCTATGCTATCTTGCATGTACATGCAATACCTTGACTATAGGACCTCAATCTCAGTGAACAAATAATATGTGTTAATGATGATAGTTTGTGTGAACAACTTTAGCTTATGGATTGAATGCCAGTAATTCTGCATCAGCCTTTCAGCAAACTTTACTTGCAAGAAAATATCATTAAAACAATGCTCACTATCCAGTTTTATATGTAATTCTATTCAAATTTTCTCTTTATGCCTTTGTCAAAAAGAATTTATATTCTTTGCAGAGAAGTGACCATAGTTGCTGAATTTTATAAAAAATAATTTATGTTTCATCAGTTAAACAGAAAAAATATTGTCATGTCAATCTCTGTCTTGCTTATTGGTTAGCACGAATATTTCACTGAATACACACAATACAGTTAAGTATTTTTATACTTTAACTTTCAAGTAACTGCTTCAAAACTGAAAGAGTTAAGACAAAAAGTTGTTATGAGTATGTTTTTATAAGTATTATATATTCTGCCAATCAATGATAAGCTTGAAAGTGCTCTTTAGAACCACGTGCCGTTATGTAGAGGGTGTCTTTGAATTGTCACTAAACAATAAAAGCCAATTTAAAGACATAAGGCTGGTAAAATCACCACGTGAATGTACATTTGTCCTGGTGTAGCAGTCATTTCACTGTTTAATCATAATTACATTTGTTGTGCTTGTCCTTCATCAGACAGTTCTACAGCAGAACCGCTCAACATGAACACTGCTGACAGTGGAGCCAGTGGGTTTTGTGCAATATGTGGAGACAGAGCAACTGGCAAACATTATGGTGCCTCCAGTTGTGATGGATGCAAGGGATTCTTCCGACGTAGTATACGGAAAAGTCATGTTTATACTTGCAGGTATTTTAAATGTTCAGCTTTAAAAATTTAGTTCATTAAACCAGCAGAACAGTAGCAAACACTGCAAAAATAGCTTTCAGGCCTAAAGTGCACAGTAAGATTTTCAGTCTTTAAACAATAAAGAGGATAAAACAAAGTTGTTTATTAATGTTAATAAGGGAGAAAAACACATTCACTACAGACCACTCATGTCTGGAAAAAATACTTTAATACTTACCTTCCTCTCATGTGGAAGTTGTACTGAAGAAAACCAACTTTAAGACAGTATCTTTTTATTATCCTACCATCATCTTCCACTATCTTTCACTAATTATATTTTTCTATATAGACTATATGTCATTCATCCTTAATAGCCTCAGATTTGTTCTATCAAGACAGATCCTTGGATTCTTTTTTGGTCTGAAAGACATATTGACATCATTTGAGTTAGCCTGACTTACAAGAATTAGAACAAGAATTTCTTAAAGAAAAAAAATCTGGATTAGTAATAAGCAGAATTTTGATGATTTCTTACTATATTTTTGATGAAGAGGAAATTCTAAAAAACTTCTTATGACTCCTAGACTTTAAATTAGAATGCATAAAATATATATTTTAAAGAACTCCACATTGCTGGAAATAGTTTTCTGTTGTCCTTCAGTTCTACTGTGCTTTTTGTTTTTTGGAGGCAACAAACTCTTATATGAACTAAAATGGAGACTCAAGGAGCCCTTCCTTTATTACTGTCAGCCAACTATGGAGTTGAGCACCTCTTTAGAGTGCTCAGGGAGTTGTTCCTCTCTGAGGTAGTGACAGAGGCAGACCCCCCAAAACTTCCTCAAACAAAGCATAATTTGTTTTACCCATCATTATGCAAAGCAAAAATGAGGAAATAGACTTTAATCTTGTTTCCCCTTATATTCACTGTATGTTCCTTTGCATACTTTGGTAATTTCCGTTCAACTATCTCCAACCTGGACTGGGTAAAGCAAACCACGTTTTTCCATGTATAAGCATAAAGTGTGCTGAAAGACTTTCTTTACGTGCCTGCCTAGGTTAGCATCCTAAGTGTTTCAGTATACCCTTTGATCTGAGGTTCAGCCTTGTTAGAGTAAAACCACTAATTCAGGATTTGGGGCATGTGTAGATGAAATGGGGGCCCTAAACTGAAACAGTGAGTTTTAAAAAACACTGCTTCAATTTAGGGCTGATTAAATCCCCATGTCATGCACATATCCCATTGACTTACCTGCCTCTCCAGCAGGGAGGAGAGGCGAGGGTGGGCTGCTGATGGGTGAAGCGGTCCCTGGGCTGCAGTGGATGGGGGGGGCCGGTGCTTCTCTCTGCGGCAGTGGCAGCTCCCACTCCCCCAGGCAGCACCCCCCTGCAGGCACCTGGCTCGGGCAGTCCCAGGGGGCACTGCAACTGTGGAGGGAATCACCAGGCCCCCATGCAGCTCAGGTAGGCTCTGGAGGGGGGTGGTGGAAAAGATCAGGCTCACTGCTTTTCTTGAGCGGAGCTGTTTTCCCAGGCTGCTGCCAGGCTGCCTGCAGGGCTTTCTGCAGAGCCCCTGAGCTGCAGGGAGCCCAGTGTTTCACTCCGCGGCTGTAGGAGCAGCAAACTAAAACTCCTCAAAGAAGTTTTAGTTTTTTGCACCCCAAGTCATTTAATGAGCATTACGCCACTGAATTTCCTACAGTGGCTAGATTTAATGTGCAATACACTGCCAAGGCATGCAAACACCAACACCTTTAAAGTGTCAGTGCAAAAGCAAATGCAAAAGCATTTAGCCTGCTTCAAAGTGTTGTGCACACATGCCTCTTGTTTTGTCTACACACATTATTTATTATTTTCCAAATAGTAGCTTCCTCAATATAGATTGTGAAAGGACTCCTGCTATTCTTTATGATTGTCCCTTACTTTTTGCGGTTGTTTGAATTCCATTGAATTTCCCCAGTATTGAACCCTTTGCTTGTGGTCTATGCTGGTTAATATCACATAGGTAAACTGAAGTGAATATGACTGAAAAAATGATACACGTGGTTCCATCCGTTTATACCTTTTCTCCTTACAAGATATTATTCCTGTCAAATGAATAGGTCAGAAATATCTTTCAGGGCTAAAATACAGAAAAAAGGTTGGCGAAGGATGATAGTTGAACACATTGTTTTAAAAGCTTGAATGCCTTTTTTTTTCACTTTTGTTAATCAAGATTTTGTCTTATTCATGTTCCATAACATTCATCCCTTCTTGGTTTTGATAGATTCAGCCGACAGTGTGTTGTGGACAAGGACAAAAGGAATCAATGCAGATTCTGTCGTTTAAAAAAGTGTTTTCGAGCAGGAATGAAAAAAGAAGGTAAAAGATTTGTTTAGTACATATTAAAACAAACTTTTTCTAAATAGGGGTTAAAAAATTAGTACAACACTAAATGAAACCCATTTAGAAGTTTCCCATAGTACTACCATAATGGAGAGTTGCTTTTGTTGTTATGTACTTTCTCTAATTTTTAAGTTAGAACAACTCTGGGAAAATATAAATTCAGTTCTGAGTTTTGAACTCATATATTCAGGAATGTTCATCTATGGTATTGTTTTTCTTCCTATTATAGAGATTCGAAGTTTGTATCCATACTTGTGTCTGAACTTATGTCTAGCAGTACTTTTAAGTCTCAAGCTATTGCCTCTTAAATTCAGTAAATGTTGGAAGTATATCAGTGATGTTTTAAGTACAAGTATATATAAATTAAAAAAGAGTGTTGCCAGAGACAGCATGTACCCTTATGTGAAGGTAGCTAGTCTTGAATTTGTTAGGGCAACAGCAGTTTTTGCTATCTACATTTTTGTAGGATAAAATCATATGAACACAAAGTTTATACCATCACTGAGCTTTTATCCTTTACAAGAAATAGGTGAAATATAAGAATTTAGTACAGATTTAAATTGCCCCATTTTGCCAGGAAGGAGGGAAGCCTGTATACTGCATGAAGTTTTACTGATTGGAAAAATATTTTGCTACAAATTGTCACTTTATTTTCAGGTCTCAAATTTGATTGTTTTTTATTATGTTGGTGCATAGATCTGTTACTTAGGCTTACTGTGCCCTCTCTATTCTTGTATCATCCAAGACAGAGATGCCTATGTGGCAATATCTAAGGTCTATGGGTCTGCCATCAAAGCAAGAGAAGCAGCCCACTGTAAAAAGACCACAATATCAGAAAAATATGAGTGTCATGATGGAGTCTGCCCCAGGGCCTATTGATAAAATGATCATTTTGTGGGGACAGAAGGGTATGTGGCATGGTTGGAATCCTCTAAATGTTTAAATGAGCAACAAAAATCAGAGTCTTTTTATGGTTCTTATGTCCTTAGCTTTAAATTTTCTGTGAAGCTGTTTTGCTTCTATCATTGGCCGCTAAGTTTGTTACAGTGAAATGGGTTTACAATACTTCTACATGTACTTTTGTTAAAATAAGACTGATTTATTGTATATTTTTCTTACAGCTTTTCTTAAATAATATTAGAATTCGGGAGTATTTTTTTAAAATATAGTCCTATGATCAAATTTTGTTCTTAGCTACATTAATGTAAATATGACAAATCTCCATCAAGTTCTATGGTTTTATTTTGGATTCATACTGGTATAATGGAACAGAATTTAGTTCCTAGCATGTAGATCATTAAAATCAGTAATGCACAAGATACCTCGTGGAATCCTGATGTGAAAAAAATGTGGTACTTACAATTTTTTTCAGAAATCTCAAACATAATGGAACAAATGGATGAAAAGTGCCAAACTTTTTGCCA